TATATTTTAATTATTTAAAAATAAAAATGTAGCAGATTAAGGGCCCATTAATCCGGAGCTGCATTCGTGTCCGCAGGTCGTGTGCACGCGCCACCCGACCCGAACCCGAGCCCGAGCCCGGCCCGGCCGGCGCGCGCGTGTGTGGTGTGGAGCATAACCTTTGTTTTCTTCTAGGCATAGGAGAGAAAGGGAAGGCTTATAAGGACCCCTTTTTTCTATCCCATTTCCTATGTGGGACTAAACTTTCCCTCTTTTCCTCTACAAAGTCAAGTTTTAAGTTATCTTTTATTATATAATTCCAACAGAGCAACCGTTCTAGCCTGAATCCATACACATGGAGTTGATCAACTATGGTACCAAAAATGAAAGTAAGGACTCGATGTTTTAGTTTGAATTTTTTTTTTGAAAGAAAAAAAGGGATAAACCCTGTTCAATTAAAGATAAAAGTATGTAATACAAAAGTTTGGGTACGAAGTGTATCCAGATGTTAGATAACAGTAAGAATAGTTCAAAAAGACTAGGGATGTATGGCCTTCTTCTTTCAGGGATCCATGAAGGTGAATAGAGGGCCTTGCCGTCATTCACCGTTGACATAGATACAAGAAAGAACCAAAGCCAGCCATACATATAGTTATTTGAACTAAAATACTGATGTCTAACATGCTGCATAAGGATTAAAAGTTAACTATACAATATACAAAAGAAAACTCCCAAAAAACCATCTAGGATAACTTGCCAAAAACATTATCAGATTAATAATTGGCAATGGATGTTTTAGTTTGATTTGAAGTTTGGTTCCAACTTAATTGAAGCTTATGTGTTTGGTTTAATGATATGTCTTTGATCCATTCTTTAATGACATTTGTATATACTTAGGGGCTGTTTGGTTCGTTTCCTAGATATAGGGAAATGCATTTCCATGTACAAAACCATAAGTTTTAAGTTTTCCAAACATTTCTAAGAAATAGATTGTTTCGCTTTGGTTCGCACAAAAAAATGGTGGGAAACCAATATATTTATTTTTCTTGTGTTTGATTCGCATGGAAAAAAAGGGAAAACTTTTGTTTATATGGCAAAAAGCCGACGTGGCTACAGTTTTCGTCGATTTCACGAGGTTAAGGAAGGAATTGGGGGAGAGAAAAAAATCTGATGTGGCGACGATTTTCACCGAGTTTCCCTTCTTCAACCCTAGCGAACCAAAGATGAGAAAAAAAACCCGACGGAAAGCTAATATCCTACGTGACCACGAAAAATATGATGTGGAGACGGTGTAAAACTTTTCCACCGAGTTAATAAATGAACCAAACAGCCCCTTATTTTCGAAAAATCCATCCATCTACACTTACTAATCTAACACCATTAGAAATCAGGGGCGGATTTATTTCAATCTTGAGATTTGGGGGTGTTTTTAAAAATATCAAAATTTGGAGAGTCAATTTAGAAACACGGCAGATTTGGAGGGTAAATGTAGAAAATCTCCCTAATTTGAAATTGTAAAACACTATATTCTAATTTGAAATTTGATTTGAAAGTTCTGTTATGTAATAATGCTTATATACTATGAATCCTAAAGAATAAACTTATATGTCATCATGTTCAATTATTAATTTTTAGACATTTTTATTGAAATTCCTAGCTTTGTCACTGTTCCTTCTCGGTTTCTTAAGAAGCGTTTCGAGATGTTACCATATATTCATATTAATATCCGTGATTAAGTGGGTGTTTGGTTGCACAATTTTATAGAAAAGTTTTATCAAAATATCTGACAATGGTAATTCCGTAATTAAAAAGTTTCTGTAGATTTCCGTAAACTGTGTTTGGTTTTAAAAAAATTACAGAAAAGTTTTTTATAAAGTACAAAAAATTACTAAAATTTACAGAAATCAATTTACTCTCAAAATGGACGGAAATCACCCAGAAATATGACATCACATTGATACTTTTCTATAAAGTTGACACTTTTCTATAAATTTAGCGGATGTTTGTTTCAATTTCTATAAATTATAGAAAATTTTGCTATTTTCTATGAAGTTATGAGTCATTTTCTTGTTTTGAACCAAACAAGTAAAAAAAATTGTACTTTTATCTTCTCAAAACTTTTTCTATGAATTTTATAAAAAATACAAAGAAATCATATTTTTGGTGAAAAACATTTCCTATAATTTGTAGAAGATCAATTACCTACTCTTCGGGGAAACAGGATGCACCGAAATACTCTGCAAGTAGGCCCCATCTACTAGATCCTTATAGTGTTAGGCTGTGTGGTCCTAATCATACATACATGTATTTTCTCTGTTTAAAAAAACTCAGTAGCAGTTGAGACCAAATACAGACCAAAAGAGTCCGCCTCTTAACTGGCTACAGGCTACAGCTCATAACCAATGTTCGTGCAAAACAAAGACCGTTTGAAGAAAAAAATAAACTAAAATAATCATCTAACCTAATCTAATGATTATAAACTAAGTAAGAGTCCCATGTGAGCATCAGTCTCTCTCAATGCTAGAATTTGGTTTCACATTTTTCACATCTCTTGGACTTCAATGATTCCCCGTACCAAAAACTGTGAACCCTGCGCTTGACAATCTCTTCTCTGTTGACAGCCTGTCATCAGTCATCGCCATTAATAAATTATCAAAAGATTATTATTATTATTATTTTTTTGATTTTCAAAAGAAACGTCTGATCGCGTCCACTTCACGGAGACTTTTTTAATGGCGAGCACAAGCAAAAGGTGACGCGCAAAACCTTTTTCCTCTCGTGGCGTCCGGGAAGTTGACTCTTTACACTTTGGTCCATAACAAACACTACTATTTTGATGGTTATGCAATTGAACTTGAAAATTCGTTACATGGACAAATTCTTATGTTGTTTTTAGTTCCTATATCTCAACGGGACATTAATTAGTACTAGGAAGAAGCAAATACTTCTAAAGATGTAGGCTGTCCCTTTGCCTTTTTGCCTTGAATATACTATGCCCTCTTGTATCACATAATTGATGATCACTAAAAGTCTATAATTTCCATTCTTATCTCACCAAATAATTAAGTTATTTGAAGGTATTTTGAAGTTAATCTTTCTGTTAAAGTATAAAATGATAATTTTGATTATAATAACTTCAGTGTTTTGGTATAGTGGCAGTGATCATAAAAATCTATGATTTAAAAATGATGTTTGAGCAACACAAGTTCAATTCAAAAAGTCGCAAATTCAAAGCGTATTTAAAATAGACATAATCACACATGAAAAGAACGGTTATGGTGTTCCCATTTTTGCCAAAATACAACTCAGTACCAAGTAGTTGACAAGTGTACTTCTACACGCTATGCCCTAATCAACTTGGCGGCCAAAGATAATTAGGGACGACAACTCAGCCAACCTGACGAGACGAGACACCTCAATGTCGACATGAAAGGCGGTGTTTGTCGACACAAAAGGCGGTGCTTGTCAACACGCTTCTATTGAAGACAAGTCGCCACGAGTCCACTCGACCACTTGCCAGATGTGGCGTTACTTCCCGGCGAAGCAAAAATACTATTTTCGTCTCGAGTCTCTTCCTCTATGACAACGTGTCAACATCGCCTTTAATGCTTGGCATGTGCCATCATGACTCTAGCCCAAATAGTCTTCATGCTCATCGGACCACGTGGACCGTGCCATGCCGCCAGTCTCTTTCCATTTAATGTCGAAGCGACCTTCCCTCCACTCGCTGACCGACACATATAAAGCAAGTGCTGACGTGACCGTCAGCCTATACTTCGCCACCTTCTTTCTGCTCTCGGCCAAAGTGACAAATTTACCCTTGCCACATTAGTATAAATATAGTAACTATTTCAACTTGGGCTGGATCCTGATTCTTGAATCTGATCCAAATTCTCTAATTTTGCAAATCATACTGCATACGCACATGATTACCATAATTCTTTCAAACCCCACTCAAGTTCATCAGCTAACTTGATCGTCAGAGGTACAACGGGGGAACCAAACCTCATCCTCTTACGGATTTCTACTTGTGCATATTTTTCAAATACCCAACTTAAGAACTAGACATAAAGTCATGAAAGAAAGCGGACCATTCATCAATCCTCGACAAATTCATCCAAACACGACTATAATTTACCGTGTGATTATATAAACCATCAACAAGAACCGTGATATTAAGATTGATAAAACAAAATTGTACAAGGTTAATATATATATATATATATATTCAAGATACTTTTTAATTTTTTTGCAAATCCATAACCACAACTTACATATATATATAGATGGGTTAATTGCAGATAGAGCGTTGTAGCGCAACTATTTTGAACTTACCATCCATCTAGTTTTATTTTGCGGACAAATTTTCAAAACCAATCTTTTTCCATATTTAATCCCCAAAAAATACATCTTTCAACAATATTTTTAAAACCGACCTGGTTTCAGCCACGCTGAAACTAGGTCGGTTTTTAAAAAAAAAAAATTCTGAAACTTCACGGGAGGTTAACTACCGTAAAGTTTCATAGTTCAAATTTTTTTAACTATGAACTCCCGTGAAGTTTCAGACTCATTTTCACAAAAACCGATCTGGTTTTAGCGCCAAGGTTGAAATCATGTCGGTTTTTACAAATAACTTCAAAATAGGTCTTTTTTTAAGATTAAATATGTTGGTTTTGAAAATTTGTCCTTTATTTTGCAGATAGAATTAATTTTGGGGATTAAATGGATATGAGGGTCTAATTTCAAAGCACTGAAATTAAGGGACCAATGTGAAACAATTCATAAACTGATATAATAAGTCAAGAAACGGTACCATCGACGCTGGTTGCCGTTGTGCTGGCGCAAGCGAGAGAAGCTTATTAATCTCCTGTCACTCTCCCTAATCCTACTGTCTTTCTTTCCCCATACTTTTTTTTAAAGGTCGCTCTAATTCTTCACTTCGAAGTCCATCATCTTCTTCCTCCTCCTCAAAACCCTAGAACCCCCAATCCCCCCCCCCCCATCGCCAGCC